TATAAAACGCATAGAGCAGATACAAAAATCCATAGAAGATAAACTAGAACATAATAAGTCTGAAATTAAGTCTGAAATTGAGTTGCAGATGAAAAATGGATTTGCTAATTTGGAGGCGAAAATGGATGGTCTTATTGAAAATGTCCGTAGTGAGATGAGAGGAGAATTGAACAAAATGAAGTCTGACGTTAATAATTGCTACTCTATGGTTAAAGAGGTAGATAAATCAACCAATGCTAAAATAAATGCCCTAGTCGCCAAAAACAACACCCTTGAAAGACGTCTTAACAGAGCTGATATTCTCATCATTGGTCTACCAAATAAAATGGATAGCATTCGTAGTTATGTTATGAACATAGGCCAGTTGGTAGGAGTTGCAGTAACAATGACCGATATAAATCATTGTTGCTATTTAAAGAAACAAAAATGCATTCTTATAAAATTTAAACTCCGTTTATATCAGAGATTCTATCATGAAAAATATTATGAGTCTCAACCACTACTTTTGAAGGATGTGGTGGATAATTGTGATGTTGGTGGCGCTGATAAGAATGGGGTTGGTGATCAAAATGTTGGTGGTGACGTTGAATCTAGGATTTATTTAAAAGACAACCTATCTCCTGTTTCTAAAAGATTAAAATACATCTGTCAAACGTTACTACTGAAGAAGCAGATAAGTAAATTTTACTTAAAAAACACGGAATGACGGATCATTTGAGTATTTAGATATCCAGCAATGTGCTGACTTACTTGATGGTTGTCAACAAGGTGAAGCCATGGAAGACAATGGAAGTCAGAATAATCGCGGAAAGCATCAAAAAAAGAATTAATCATTTGTTGTATATTATATTTTTTATAGTTAATAGTAAATTTAACATTTTCGTTACGATCTCGTTACTAATATTAATTATTATCATTTGTCTGAACTGAATATACATATTTCATACAATTAATCGAACTAACCGTTATTTATAGTAATCAATTAATTCTTTTGCATATTTTTATTCGTAATGATTGACAATTTGGGTGACATAGTCTCTAATAACGCGACGATAAATGCAGTGTTAAAACAGGGAGAACTTAACGTTTTACATTTTAATGCACAAAGTCTTGTGCCACGTAATAATGGTTCTAAATTTGATGAAGTGAGGCATTTGATGCAAGGCTGTTCGGTGGATGCATTTGGTATATCAGAAACGTGGTTTAGTAGTTGTATATCTGATGCAGCATTTTCTATTCCAGGTTTCAAGATTTATCGAAATGATCGTTCATATTCTAGAGGAGGAAGGCATACTCCTCCTCCTCTAGAATATGAACGATCATTTCGATGGACCTGAAAGTTAAGAATGTTTATATTCATCATGCTGGGGAATATGATGATGGGTTTCATGATCGTGATGTAGAAGCGCTATTTGTTGAGATATTTTTGAATACTGGTGTTGTAGTTTTGTTAGGTGTAGTATATCTACCGACTGGAAATTTTGTAGTTGTGAAAACTTGTTAACGGATTTCTCAACAAGATATCAGCACGTTATCGTAATGGGTGACTTTAACACAAACATTTTCCAGGACGGAAATTTAATAAGGGATTTTTGTTCACGTTCGGTTTTATCGGTGGTACATAATTCGAGACCAACACACTTTTGTTCACGTGCGGGCTCAACGTCTCTAATAGACTATTTTTTTGTATCTGATATTAATCCTGTAACAAATTCGAGCCAATTTCAGCTTCCGGTTCTTAATTCATATCATGCATTGATTCATATATCATATAATGTTGCTAATTATACTAATTCATTTGAATTTTTCTATAGAGACTACAAGTCCTTTGATGCGGAGCGATGTTTATCTCAATTCACAGAAATTGACTTTTCATCATTATATAGTAATGTATCAGTGGACGATAATGCGGAATTTTTTGGATCGGTTGTGGGAAGTCTCTTTGTTGACAATGTGCCACTTAGAAGATTTGTAAATCGTAACGATAGTGAATTTATGAACGATGTACGGATTTGTAGAGCAAAGCGATGTAGAAATATTGCATATCGTGCTTATAGAATGAATAATACTGATGAGAATTATAGGAATTATCGTGTATGTAGAAATAGGTTAAAGGCAGTTGTACGTAAGGTTCGAAGAGAGATGTGTGTGAGATTTTTTCAAGTTGCGATCAAAGGCAGCTATGGTGTAAATTAAAATCAATTGGTGTACTTGGTGACAACAGCA